ACTCTCCGTCTGTGCCACTCTACAGTGGGTGCACACTCAAGTGTATGTGTGTCTGTGGGTGTCTTTCTCACACTCCAGCCTTCCCCCTTGCACCTCCCCTTCGCCCTTTTAGGTTCCCTTAGTCCCCACACCCTGGCCATTCTTACTCTTGTGGGGGAGGCGGAGTCATGAACATGGACTAGATACTGTCACTGGGAGCCGGAACCTTCAGGTCTCTGGGCCCTTCTTGGCTCCTCTGGAGGAAGCTGCTGGGGCAGCAGGTACTCAGCTAACTGTAGGGCTGCCTTCTGAGGAGGGCAGGGCGAGGGGAGCCTAAGGCAGGAGCCTCCCAGGAAGGGAGCCTGGCCACTGGCTAGGGGAAGGCTGCCTCTTCTCTCTAGGCAGATCTGGAGTCTGGGCAGTAAGGGAGAGAGAGCACTGGGCATGCCTCACTTGGTCACCTCTCAGGCATGGAGGCATCTGGGAGGAGGGTGCACCTTGGCATGCTGATGGCAGGGGGCTGAGGTGGATGTGGTGGGTGGCATCCCTTTCTCACTGGTCTACAGTGCCCCGTGGTTGGGGCTGGGCATCTGCTTCCTGGGGTGGGGGGCAGGCGCTGCCGAGGGGCTTAAGGAGCCAAGGGTAGAGTGCAGCCGGTTGCTGGTTGCTCGGGTTCCTCTGGGAGATGTTGGCTGGCTGGATGCACCCCAAGGCCAGAGCTCAGGGAACCCCAGGGGAGGCATGGCCACGCTAGCTTCATATCCTCCTGCCAAGGCTCTGCCTTAATCGCCCTCACTTCTGCATCCCTCTGTCACGCTTCCCTCCCTGTTGTGCTTTGAGTGCCTTCCAGGCAGGGTCCGGGTAGGCTTTCCCCTGCTTCTCCCCAGCACATCGTGGGCTGTGTCCGAGGCCATCTGGACTGGGAAACACCTCCCAGTGCTTGTCCTCGGGTGTCAGAACTGGCCTGTTTAGGGCAAGCTCTGGAATGTTGGTTCACAGTGGAGTATGTATTTTTATTTTTCTCAGTGCTGGTGTGTGTCCACGAGTGGGGTTTCTCAGCCCACCTGGGCTGAGGGCTCGGGGAGTACTGGGGCCTTCTTTCCAATAAGGAACCTAGAAACTGTCTGTTGGGGTCGCATGGTTCCTTTGGAGGCCAGCAGTTGGGTCGGCTGTGACTCAGGGATGGAGTGAGCCACTTGCCCAGGTATCCGGGAGGTAGGCTGCCCTCAGGGCTCTGTGGTAGCAAATATGGGGGGATTGCAGGCACCCCATCTTGGGAGCGCAGCTTCCTCTCCTGCTGGGATAGGTGAGTGGGTGGGGGTCAGGGGAGCCTCCTGCGCATGGGTGCCCCGCCCGGGAGCAAGCGTGGGCAGGAACCCTGTGTCTGTTAAAAGGCAGAGGCTGCCTTGTGGTTGGAGTGTTGCCAGAGGCTATAAATAGCTGCGTGTCTGCAGAAGCAGAGCCCAGGGAGGAGGGAGGAAGGGGGAGGCCCTGGGTTTCCAGCTGGCAGCAGAGCCTGGGTGTGGTGTGGGAGGGGCTTGGAGTCTCCCCGTCTCCCCGTCTCCCCGTCTCCCCAGGTCCTCCTGGCTCTGAGTGCAAAGCTTTTGGAGGCGTTGGTGTGCACAATCCCTGCTTGATGGGCTGGGAGCCCTCCTGGGGGGGCTTGTAATGTGAAGGGTTGTCACAGGCAGCAGGGAGGGGTATGGCTCCTGATAAGACAGCTAATGTGCCAGGTACTGTCATAACCACTCTTAAAATGCATCAACTCATTTGGCTCAAGAACAGCCTGAGCAGTGAGGTGCTTCTATCATCCCCTTTTCACACATGAGGACACAGAGGCACAGGGTGGATTGATAACTTACCCAGAAGTATCAGAGCCAGGATTTGAACGAAGTCCGGCCAGCTCAGGGCTGCCTTACTCTCAGTTGTCTGTAGGAAGATCTGGTCGTGGCTGGGGGTGGGGGGGTGGGGGTCCAGTTATATCCTGAGCCCTTGGGTCCTACCTGGAGCCTTGAGATTTGGCATTCCCCAGCCCTGTCCATCTGTGTCCTGCCCATGGTAATGGCCAGAGGAGCCTCTGCTTGGTGAGTGGCATGAGGAGAGAAGCTGGGCCGACCTTGGCCACTGTCAATGTTGGGACTCCTCACCTTGCACAGGGGGCTTGTTGCTTGTTGTCTACGTGGAGATGGGAACTCCCCTGAGGACCCTCAGGCTGGGGCTGCAGGCTCAGGCCACGCCTCCTGTAGTCCCTTCCCTTCAAATCCTGCTCTCGCCGGGTGATAACCATGTCCTCTGTCCGTTTATTCTTCCATCTGTCTACCTGCCATGTGTCTGGAACTGGTTCTAGCACTCAAGATAGTCAGGGCTTCTGCTTTCATCAGCCTTGCAGGCTCGTGGGGGAGGCTGACATTTCAAAAGTGATTTTCAAGTACATTTATAATGTTTTATTTCTTTTTTTTTAAGATTTTATTTATTTATTTGAGACAGAATGAGAGAGAGAGCACATGAGAGGGGGGAGGGTCAGAGGGAGAAGCAGGCTCCCCGCCGAGCAGGGAGCCCGATGCGGGACTCGATCCAGGGACTCCAGGATCATGACCTGAGCCGAAGGCAGTCGCTTAACCAACTGAGCCACCCAGGCACCCCAATGTTTTATTTCTTAATATGAGTATTCACTATGTTATTTTCTCTTGGAGGTTGTCTTTGGTTACATTATTTTTACACATTTTGAATGTCTGAAACATTTCTTTAAAAAACAATAGGTAGTTAGTCAAGAGTGGTAAATTAGGGGTGCCTGGGTGGCTTAGTCGTTAAGCATCTGCCTTCGGCTCAGGTCATGATCCCAGGGTCCTGGGATCAAGCCCCGCATTGGGCTCCCTGCTCAGCGGGAAGCCTGCTTCTCCCTCTCCCGTTCCCCCTGCTTGTGTTCCTTCTTGCTGTCGTCAAATAAATAAATAAAATCTTTAAAAAAAAAAGAGTGGTAAATTAGGTGATGGAGGAAGCACAAGGGCCTGTGGAGGTAGAGAGTTTGCCTGGTCTCTGGAGAGAGAAGAGCCGGAATCTAAAGGAGAAAGTGGGGAGCATCCTGCAGCCAGAGATAGTAACTTGTGATAAGCCCAGAGGTGGAGCGTATTCAGGGGCCTGGAAACATGGTGTGATGGCAGTGGGGGAAGCAAGATTGAAGAGTAGCCAGCACCCCTACCTGCAGCTCATCCCATCCCTTTAGGTTCTCCCCTAAAACCTTAAGCCTTACGCTCGATGAAGGGCCTGGCTGGGGGAAGCCAACATGCACTCCTGCATGAGCCCCTTTGTTGACCCTGATGCCCTTCTTATGGACCAGGCTGGGTCCCAGCTGCCTGGGTGGTTGGGAGGCCACTCTTCTTACAAGTGTCCTTGGATGCCCAGAGCCATGGCTAGACACTGGCATTCTGATAGGATGACATTTTGAACCCTTAGAGCTTTGAGATTTGCTGCTTGCCCTTGGCCTCTGGAGGAGCCTCTTGTCACTGCAGAGAGCTGCAGAAGGGCTGGGGTGACTAGAGAATGACCTGCAGTGGGGGGAGGGGGGGCTTCCCTCCTGACAGCCAGTCTTTGTCCTTCTCCCTGGGTGTACCATGGCATATCAAGTTCTTTGCTCACGATGGCCACTGTGGGCGTGAAGCGGAGGATGAGGGAGGCTTTGGGCTGTTAAGACTCAGGCTCTCCCCCAGGGTTGGGGTGGGATCTTCTCTTCTGGCTGCTGGTGGGCTGGCTGGCTGTCCATCCGTGGGGGTGACTCTGACCCGTCCTTCCTCCTTCCTGGGGCAGAAATACCAGCTAGAGGTGGCATCAGATCCCTGGCCTGCAGTAGGTCCAAGAAGAGTGGCGAGGTCAGGTGGATGCTTGGTGCTGATTTCCTCTTGGGTGTCTGTGTGATTTTTGGTAGTGAGGTTGATCATGGGTGTCCTGTAAAGGGACCATGGTAGGGCACTCGCAGACAGAGTTCTGGAGAGCTCTTCAGCCCAGGAGTCAGGGGCAGGGGCCATAATCTGTTTCCTGGGAACCTCCTTTGGCATCTCCTTCCTCCTTCCCATTACAGGGCTTTGGGGGTCTTGGCAGTTGGGCAGATGGGAGGGCTGGGACGGGGTTGCTTGGGAGGGGTTGGTGAGAAAGGTGGATTTGGTGAATGCTTGAGGCCATATTTGAAGGAAAGAATATTTGAAGGGGGCAGTTGGGGGTCCAGGTGTTTGGCCACCTGGATGGCACTCATGCAGGGGGTGGAACAGGGCACAGGAATGGTGGGGAGTGCTCACAGGGGTCTTCAGGCGCCAAGCCCAGCTGGGAGGATTCTGTTAACCACCTCTAGCCACCAGCCAGCCCTCCTTCTGCTTGGGGTACATACTCCCTATTGTGACTCTGGGAGCCTTACCCTGATCATGCTGGCCTGATTCTTAGACCTTCTCCTGCCCTGCTGAGCACCAGGTGTGGTTGCTGGGTGCTGGAAGGACACTGGACTGGAGGGTCCTTATTTCCTATTCAGTCTGGACGGGGATGGGGGACACACCAGCAGTGTGTCTCCCCAGGATGAGGCAGACAGCGACAGCAGGAAGCTGCCTCAGAGTGTGCCCAGACATGGTCCCTGAGGTCTGTGGCCGGGTCACCTGAGATTCTGTGGGGTGGGGAGGGGGCCGGAGGTAGAGGGTGGTGGTGTTTAAAACTGTAGTAGATTCTGCCCCCGTTTAAACTGTTCAGTATGGGCTAGGCCCAGGAATGTGTATTTTTAGCAGCGCCCCCCCTCCCCCCCCAGTGATTCTCCTGTGCCCTGGGGTTTCGAGGGCTCCTCCATTTCTGCTGCTGCAAGGGAGCCGTCCCCACCCCCATCCAGGAGCTTCAGCCATCAGCGGAGCCCCTTTGTGTGCGTGTAGCCATCAGTCTGGCTGTTGGACACCCACCCACCACTCAGCCTCCCGCAAGGTGGCCGTGGACTCAGGGCAGGCGCCGGGGTTCGTGGAGCGCTCAGCCCTTCTCTCATCTGCTGGGCACAGGTTCCGGGCGCGGGGAGGCCGAGACTCGGGAGTGCATTTACTACAACGCCAACTGGGAGCTGGAGCGCACCAACCAGAGCGGCCTGGAGCGCTGCGAGGGCGAGCAGGACAAGCGGCTGCACTGCTACGCCTCCTGGCGCAACAGCTCCGGCACCATCGAGCTCGTCAAGAAGGGCTGCTGGCTGGACGACTTCAACTGCTACGACAGGTGCCCCGGAGCCCGCCGTCCCCTCCCCCCAGCGCCGCAGCCCGCTGGAGCCGTCCTGTCCTCCCCTCCCCTCCCCTCCCCTCCCGGCACCACCCCTGCCTCAGTCCCGCCGGAGCCCGCCCTCCCC